GTGCTAAATTTGAGGTCAATCGGACGTGATTTGTTAGGTTTCGCATTGGTTGTGGAAGTTGAAGTTTTAAAGTTCAATGATTTCGAATTGAGGGGTGATTCCTCGTTTTAATGTTGTTATGGGTATCTTGAGGCCTCGAGTAGGTCCGTGTTGTGTTATTGGATTTGTTGGTATGTTTGGACAGGGTCCCGAGGGGCTCGGGCGTGTTTCAGATTGATTTCGGATCATTTTCTTCAATGTTGCTATTGTTGGTTTTGGTATGACCGCACTTGCGGTTGGTATGCGCAGGTGCGGTGGTCGCAGAAGCGACGAAGTGGTCGCAGGAGCAAAAATAATGCTGGGCGAGGAAGATTGCAGAAGCGGAGATTTTGGTGCATATGCGGATGAGTAGGTGCGAAGTGATGGAGCGCAGGAGTGAGGATTTCCGCAGGTGCGGATGGTGGCTCGCACCTTCGATGTCGCAGAAGCGGGTATGTTCTCCACAGGTGCGAGGGTCGAGTCCTCAGTTGATTCGGCATAAGCGGAGGTTATGTCACAGAAGCAACACCGCAGAAGCGGCTAATGCGTCCGCAGATGCGGAAGTGCTGGGCAGGATGTTAAATACAAGGGTTCGCGATTTTGGCTTCATTATTACATTTCCAAGTTCGGTTGGGGCGATTTTGGAGCAAGTTTCATCACGAGGATTGGGGTATGTGTTCTACACTCGGTCTTGGTTATATTTCATGAATCTACCTTCGATTTTAGCTTTTGGTTGATGAGTTTTAAAGAGGAAATTGGGGTTTTGGCCTAATGTTTCATAAATATGAATTTTTGAGTTTTGAACACCGACTTGGAGTCGGATTTGAGTGAAACTAGTATGGTTGGACTCATAATTGAATGGGTTGATGGATTTTGTGAGTTTTGTCGAGTTTCGAGGCGTGGGCCCGGGTGTGATGTTTGGCCGAATTTGGGATTTGATGTAGAATTCGATCTTTATCATTTGAAATTGCTTCCTTGGGCTTTATCTGATGTATTTGAGTTGATTTTGGCTAGTTTTGAGCCGTTCGAAGGTCGCTACATGCATGATGGCATTCTTGGAGCATCGCTTGGCATGCTCAGTGTCGGAATTGGCTTGTTTAAGATAAGTAAGTCTTCTAAACTTAGTGTTGAGGGTATGAAACCCCGAATTATGTGTTATGTGATTGGTGTTGAGGTGACGCACATGCTAGGTGACGGGCGTGTGGGCATGCACCCTGTGAGTTGTGACTCTATTGTTTCCAGGCACTGTTTAGTGGCACACTTTGTTGATATTTGTGTTTTTCACCATGTGATAAAGTAATTGAGCTGTATATCATGCTAGATATCACGTTTAGGATTTATGTTGAGATTGTTGGGACCCCTAGCGGTCGTTTCTTGCTGTCATCTCATTGATTTCATTGATATTTCGTACTCAGTCACATTCATGCATTCATATCATATCTCAGTCTAAGTTGTTACTTATTGACACATCATATCATTATTCCGGGTCAGTTTTCATGACATTGTAAGTCCGCGGGTGAGACTGGAGAGATTGATGACTGAGTGAGGCCGAGAGCCTGATTATGAGTGACAGTTACGGGATCGCGTTTCACGCCGCAGCATGTTTTATAGATTTATGCCATGATTGGCTTGTTATAGCGCTTGGGCTGAAGGAGCCCCTCCGGAGTCTACACACCCCAGTGAGCATGGATGATATTATTGAGGGATAGATTTCCCTGGACATGGATTTGTCCGAAGTATTTGATATCTGGAGATGGATTTCTCTACAGGGTTGGATTGCCCATTTTCCTCGGTACTGGGTGACTTATAGTCAGTGTTGTATATGTTTCGGGATGGATTTCCCTGGGCCACATGGGCCATATACAGTACCGAGTGGTTGAGCATTTATATATTATTGAGGGATGGATTTCCCTAGACATGGATTTGTCCGAAGTACTTGATACCTGGAGATGGATTTCTCCATAGGGTTGTATTGCCTTTTTCCTCGGTACTGGGTGACTTCTAGTCAGTGTTGTCTATGTTCCGGGATGGATTTCCCTAGGCCGTATGGCAATATACAGTACCGAGCGGTTGAGTATGATGAGTGGAAAGTGTGATACAATGAGGTTGAGTACTTTGAGAGTGTGAGTACATGATTCATCTTTGAGATACATGGCATTGGCACGCATATATGGCATACATGCATAGAGACGCATTTCCTCATGCTGTACGGTATCACAACATTCATGATGTTTTCTCACACATTGATATGTGGGCATAGAGTGGTATTTCCCACTTGTTAATTGGAAAGGAAACGAAGCATTTTTATTTATTGTGGAAAGGATTTTTCAGGAAAATTACAGTTTTCAAACTATCTCAAAATTTTTCGGCGATTTCTGATAAAGGATTTGGGGTTTCACTGATATCCTTGTAAAGCGGAACTATTTTCGGAATACTGTGTAAAAGCTGAACATTTTTTTCTCTAAGATTATTTCCTTGTTCATATGCTCTACGTTGTATGAACGTCTCTAGGTTATTGGTGTTGGACCCGACCTATGTTTCACCTCGTCACTACTTTCAACCTGAGGTTAGGTTTGTTACCTTTTGAGTACATGGGGTCGGTTGTACTCATACTGCACTTCATGCACATTGCGTGCAGATCCCTGATGCCGATGTTGCTGCATTCGATGGTTGCTGGATTTGAAGGCATACCCGCGTTCCTGCTGTAGCTACCTCCTGTTCACGGTAGCCTTAGATTATAAAATTCTGTGTATGTACTTTTCAAACAGAAGATGTATTATCTTCATATCAGCTTTGTGAACTCTATTATTAGAAGCTCATGATTTGTACTGCCAGTCATTGGGAAATGTAATAGATCCCGATAATTTATTTTGTTTAATGGACTTATTAGCATTATTGAAATTGGATAGTTATTAGTTGGCTTACCTAGCGGGTTGGGTTAGGTGCCATCACGACTAGTGGATTTTGGGTCGTGACACGTATATAACGCCATCAGGTCATGGGTCAATGTACATGTATAAATGAATGCAATGCATAATGAAGTAAGTCAATACAATCTCTCAGAATGTCATGAGACCCATGAACAGATGATATGATAGTAGGACATACGGGGAATCAAGAACATAGGCAACCCTAGTACTTCCAAGAATAGAGTCATTTGTGAAAGTTGCATGCTTGTTCGTTTCGTTGTATCATATGGATCATGCCAAAAGGAAAGAAGGGATAGCCTTAACATACCTCAAGTCGTCAATACAACTCAACAACAAGCTTATGACAACTAGCGCGCCAACCCTATAACAAAGAAATACATGTACAACTTAGATGGCGCTAGTATATCACGTATCTCAAACAATAACTCGATTCTAAAATAAAACGGGCAGAATTTACCCTGATTTTATTGCTCCCTCAAGCCTACTATAGGCGTGATACAAACAAAATACAATCAACAACTCTAAAATAACCCAACTACAATTCGGGACCTTCAATACAACAAAAACCCCAAATATACCATAACACACCAAATCAACAAGTTATCAATTAGCCTGAAATTGCAACGACGAGCGCCCAACCTACTACCCTACAACATGTGGTGTTTCTCCACGCCCTTCATCCTTCCAAACTCCATAAATCAGCAGCACAATAGGCCAACACGAGTGGACTACAAAATAGTCCACTAAGAGTGAAATAAATCGAACTCACGATTTTCGATCACCGTCCCGTGAGTTCTAACTATTAAGAAATGAATTTATCAACCTTCCTTGATATTTAAAAGCTTAAATACAGAATGTAGACGTTTTATTAACTATGAAGTACCTTCCAAAACTCAAACTACAATGAAAAAGAGAGGCGATATAGCTATACTTACGTCGTAGGGATCGTTCTAATGTTATCGCTTCTTGATTTCGTACCCGGGATGTTAATCTTCTTTAAGACCCTAGAAGAGAGCTTAAGTATATATTTATGGGTGTTATCTGGTTGTGTTCTTTGAAAAAATGAAGATAAAGACGACCTAAGACCTATATATATCAACTTTTGAAAAGTCAAAGAGGTGTTAGCTTGGCACCCTAGCATTGGCCCATTTTCCGACGCTTATATCTTTTTATCCTTATGTTGTATGAAAAAATGGTTAAGCACGTTGGAAACTAAATTCCAAGACCTTAAATTTTCTATATAATATGTCCCCAAAAGACCTCATATAATATACAAAATGTATTACTCAAAAAGCTTCAGTGACATACCTACTTGTCACCTATGCAGTCTGCGCAGTATCGCGAAACTGCAAATATATCTCTACTCCAATGTCGTATCGACAAACAGCTTAATGCGTTGGAATCTAGAGTCGTAGATATTCAAATCGATATGTATATCATCCCGTAATTCCAAGTATATTGGGAGAAAAGCTCCACTGCATTTAACCTAATTTTCAGCATATTTATGAATGTAACTTGTGATGACCTTTGCCAACTTTTATTCTACAACTCGATTGACTTCAAAACGTAACAGACGACTATCATAAGCCTAAAATAACTTATAACATAACCTCCTTATCATGTTAAGAACCCTAGTCTCACCCCAATAGGCATGTTATAACATTTTAAACTTATCGACTTTCGACGAAACATATTTTTCATTTAGCTTCTAAGCTTTCCAACCCTCTTGGGACTTGTTATTCACGATCTTAAAGATTTGTAACCTCCAAGGTAACATGATTAAATTACTTTGTGTACTTTCAAAGACGATCTCATTTCTGAGCTTACATCAATTGACTTACAAATACTCTCATGTACGCAAATATAGAGTGTAACAGCCAAACAATCAATGTTAACTTTAAGAAATTCAATAATTCTAAGTCTGAGTTCGGGGCTCAACCCCGTTCACAAGTAAACCTTCCTTTTCGAGAATTTTGTGAATATCTGATGTTTCGTCCTCTCCATCGTCCTTTACTAGTCTGGAGGGATTGCTGAAACCGGCTCATGTAGTTGTTATTTGCTGATTCCCTCTGCCTTGTTGCTAGATAAGGTAACTGCATTCATTTTCCTTGCAGCAGGTTGATCACCCCTAATCTTCTTGATCCCATCCGGTGTAGGGAACTTTAGCAATTGATGATAAATTGATGGCATAACCTTCATTTCGCGGATCCATGGCCTACCAAGAATCACATTGTAGCCCTTATCGCCATCCACAACTTCGAACAAGGTGGACTTTGTCACCCTCTCGGCATAGGTAGGCAACACGATCTCTCTTCGGGTCGTTACACTTGTTAAGTTGAACCCAGCCAGAAGCTTTGTCGTCGGAACTATGTTTTCGATTAACTTTTCTTGTTCCAAAACTCTCAATTGGATGACATTGGCTGAACTACCTAAATCAACCAACACACATTTAATTTTAAAATCTAAAATATTTAAAGATATTACCAGAGCATCATTGTGCGGTCAAATAAGTCCATCTGTTTCTTCCTCCGTGAAGGTGATTTCATCTTCTTTTGATGCTTCTTGGATTCTCTTGCCATGGGTGACTGATATCTTCATCTTTTCCATTGCCGAAAATGTCATCCCATTTACCTCAACCCCACCAAAAATCATGTTTATTGTTAAATGGGGTGACCCTATGGTTGGTTTTGCCGGTTTTGTTACATCTCGACTCCTCCAATAGTTCTTTTTAGCCCGACCACTTAAAAATTCTCTTAGGTGACAATTTTTAAACAGCATTGCAACCTCTTCACGAATATGCCGGTAGTCCCCAGTCCTATGATCATGTGTCCTGTAGAATTCACACTATAAATTATGATCCCTTTGACTGGGATCTGATCGAATTAGTTTTGGGAACCTTGCCTCCTTGATATTTATCATAGCTGAAACCAACTCTACTCAACTGATGTTGAAATTGTAATCTGATAGCTAGGGATATCCTGAATCCTGAGACCTCGTTGGTTCTTTATCCTGCAAAGTTCTACAACTTCTAGCATGATCTGTCCTTCTATTTAGTTCGAATCTTTTGGATGAATGAAAACTTTTAGCTCCACGCCTATTAGATCTTTTATTTGATAAATAAGGTTGGAAATGATTCCTGGATGATCTTCGGTCTGCTTCAGAATCATTTTTGAACTTTTTTTTTTTGATTTTGACTGCGATTACGACCCTTGGATGACAGCGAAGAACTCAACTGATCATCTTATATTCTAATTTTTGATCCATAAAGATTATGGATATCAGCCCATGTGGTTTCCTGAAATTCTAACAAGCTCTCATTTAGCTTCCTCGAGGCATCAGAGCTTAAAGGATTGAGGCTTTTGGTGAACGCCTCTACTGCCCATTAATCTGGTACTTCCAGCAACAACATCCTCTCCTTTTGAATCGGATCACGAATTCTCGCAACAATTCAGATTCTCCTTGAGCGATTTTGAATATATCCGCCTTTCTTGCTTGGACTTTTCTTACCCCAGCATGAGCTTCGATGAAAGAATCTGCAAGCATTTCAAAAGAATTAATTGAATGTTTAGGTAAAATATAATACCATGTTAAAGCTTCCTTCGTTAGGGTTTTGCCAAATTTCTTTAGCAAAACATATTTGATCTCGTGCGGAGCTAATCATTTCCCTTTACAGCCTGGTGTAAGTTATGATGTGCTCCTTTGCATCCGAAGTCCATCATATTTTGGAATATCCGGCATCTTGAACCTCTTTGGAATCAACTCCAGGGCCGCTCATGGTTTGAACGGTAACTGATTATAATTCTTTGAATTCAATATCGGAGGTGCCCCTAGGATCTGATTCATCAGAGCATGGAATTCTCTAGAATTTTGATCCATTCGGCCATTCATCTTCCTCATGAACCTCATGAGCTGGTCTTAAAAGGATCATCTATATTGATATCATTCTCAGATCCACTTCTTGTATTACCTGCTTGATTATCGATAAATTCAAACTCCTCTCTTGAAGCGATGTTGCCAATTCTTTGCGCTGTTTGATTTGCAGGAACGCTGGGAGGGGCTCGAACTCCTCCATTGGAATTATTTGAGGCAACTAATAGCGCTTGTTAGAGCTCAGTCATTATCCGGTCAGGTCTTGAGAGATGATTCATGGTTTTCCTTTGCTGTGCTCTCAAAAATTTTACCTTCTCGATCATCATCAATATCATCAGGGGTAGGACTCCTCACACGCCAAGTTTTTCGTTCTTCCCGGGCTGGAGTCATCTCATTTCCATCAATGTGGGTTTCACTGGTCGAATCATCTTGTTGATCTCCATCACGAAAATTATCCTTGTGCTAATTGTTTGTCCCAACATTGAGTGAGTTATTGAAATCATTTGGTGCCATATCTATTTTTGCTATACAAAAGAAAAGTGTGAAAATACGTTAGTAAAAGATGAATGGATCAAAGTAATACCATAATTTTCTATGACTCACGGTGGGCGCCAAACTGTTTACCCGTAAGTCGGTACGGTTGAATTTGTAATGCGGTTTGTAGACACGCGAATTGAATTGATCCACAAATATAAAGTAATGAAGAGAAAAAGTAAATAAATTAAGAATAATTGAAGAAAATATGAGCATGAGCCTTGGATTGAACTTCTTCGGAAGCAAAAATAATATCAACAACAAAGAGCTTAACAATATGACGTTAACAGAAACTAATATTAGTCTTTTTTCATATAAGTATTTTGTATCCTTACATGAATACAATTTTCTCTATTTATAGCAAAATTAGGAGAGGCAATCCCCAAATCAAGCTCCCCTTTAAAGTAAATAAAGACCACTCTTGATAGCCGCATAATGGTTAAGTGTGAATACTAAGATTCTCTGTAACAGCTCCTCTTTAATGCTGCCTTATTCAACTGGTATCTTGCTTTCAAATTCTTCTCTCCGATCTTGATGACATCAGGACTCACGCAACACCGACAACAAGCTTAAATCCGACGTCAGTTATTTACTGACCCATCTTCTACGTGTCTTTACTGCCACAGTTAACTTGACCAACATCCACTTGTTATCTGCTAATTTATCCTATACAGTTTGTAGTTTCATTTTGTTTACCTTTAAAATACGAGTAACAATTAAATTTGATTTGTGGTTTTAAAGATACGTGATTTAATTCAATACCAATTAATAATGAAGAGTTAGGAAGCAGAAACGAAAGAGTAAAGTGAATCAAACCAACGTTACTCAACAACAGTGACCTCGAGCCCAGGGACCTTGAGGTAGGCTTGGTATTATAAGAACAGTTATATAATAAAAGCAAAGTAAGAACAATAGAGCTAAAGGACAATGCTCATGAAAGGCAGGCGAAAAAGGTAGAGTATATTCTTTTCCCAGTGATCAGATGGTCATACAAATGATTGGGGTCCCTTTTATATAATAGGGGAACCCCAAATAAGGAATATTTCTATTTACAGTAGGGAATATTCATGATATAGCTGTCTAACCGCCTAGTACGAAATTATATAATCCTATTTCGGGATTTGCGCCATGACTTTGGGGACGTGGCAGGATCCAGCTCGTTCGGGTACAAATCCATAACGGTACTATTTTGGGTTTGAGCTCACTTGGCCCCCGGTATTCCTCACACTCTTATCTCCGGGCGTCGCACTCTGTCTTCGGGCTCAGGTCAGGTCAGGCGATCTCGATTTCGCCCGGACTCGAGCCCATAAATCGGAGGCACACGGTTTTGACCGTATATAGATAGTCCCCGCGTTTCTTAGAATAAGGTTATAAGAAACGATTTGCACCTCGATTCTCCCGAGCTTCTCATGATGACGTCATGCCCATGATGTAGGTGCTTGAAGTGACCGGAAATGTCACGTCGGTGCTCTTCCCCAAAACATCAAATGCGTGCCAGTACTGGTCGGCCATTAGCGTCGCCGAACTACCTTCGCCTTTCTATAAATATGAGGCCACTCCGTTGAACAAAGAACTGCATATATTTCATCTTCATTCACTCTGATTCTTTCTTTTCTTTTCTTCCTTCTCTAATCATCTGTTTCCATGGTTCGAGCCTGCGATCACAAAGTCGCATGGCGGCAACTTTACCAGTTACGCCAAGGCTCCTATTTTCAAAGCTTCGATTCGAAACAACGAGAGAAGGGCACTCAATCCTTCCTGCATCGGGAAATATGCGAACTTCACCCTGCTGCTCATCTCCCAAAACTTCAACCTAGTGTGGCACTTCATTCCTTTTCCTTTCTATGGAATGAGGTGGTACTATTATCTACTAACTTTTGTATCCCACATCGCCACAACTTCCCAAGGATGAATATCCTTGGATTGTTGCTCGTGCATCTTGCACCCCATTTGGTTTTTCTTGTGATGGATGGTCAGGCTACATCTCCTTGTCTTCCATTCTACTCTTTTCTTTTGCTGCTCTTTTAATGGATAATGGCCAGAAATATCAATAGAATGCTTAATCCCTGCTACTGGAAATATAGTTACATTCATCGAGGGCCCTCTGCCCAACATCTCTTCGGGCACATAGACATTTCCAAAGATCAAAATGGGGCCTCCGGGAAGGAGGCTCCCGAAGATATCGCTTTTGAGGACGTGGCCTTAAAAGTAGATTAGGTTCTTGGCTTTTGTTTTTTGATTGTTTGTTCCCGTGTAAATAACGTTCATGGGCGTTGTAGTTATATTATGTAACAATTTCTTGGAAATATAAAGGATCCCTTTCTCTCCCTTTTTGTTCGTGTTGAATTTCATTCTGTCTTTACTTGTGAAAAATTTGATTGTATAACATTAACGACTAGTCCCAATACCGGACTCTGGATATAACAAACCCTTAGGTTTTTATCGATAGATATAATACTCCTCGAGCTAAGTTTAAATAGATCCGATGTGAGCTCGGGATATCGTGACTCTTGACTCCGGGTAGAGTGAGAACGGAGTCTCGAACTGTAAGTTTTTGGCCCTTAATCCTTTCAAAGTTGGCCCTTGGGCTTTTATGTATCGGCCCTTAGGCTCTTTAAGTTGGCCCTTAGGCTCTTTAAATTGGCCCTTAGGCTCTTTAAGTCTGGCCAATTCGGCCTCTAGAATGGCCATATAATTCTTCCCTCATTTCGGATTAAAGACTTAGTGATATTTTATTATGCCTTAGCATGTGTTTTTTTTTTGTGCTCGTTGGGTTTTTCGAAGGTTCGATGTATCAGGACCTTGTTTGTTTACTGATAATCTTATACCTCTTGAGGTTTTATCGAGGGCTGGTGTTGTTGAAGCCTTTAAGTTGTTTGAGGGCTGAATTTATCGAAGCCCATTATAGTTTGCTTTTCCCGAGGGTAGCCTGATTTAACCGGTTTTTACAAAGTGTTTGAAGGCCTTGGATTTATAGCGGAAGTCGGACGTCTCCGAGCTGCATTATTTAGGCTTTAGCCTTTTTACATGACCGTAGTCATTAATATGTCCATAGCCTTCGGGAATGTCGTCTGGACTTGTTACCCGATAACTTTACGAACTTGTTCGAAAAGTTAGTCCCGAGTATATTGGCCTTGGCCTTTGTTTCGAGGGGATGCCTCTTTGAGGTCTTATGAGTCTGAGTTTTTGGTGACTCGGGTATATTGGCTGTCAATGGCAGTCTCCGAGTGTTCGGGGGTGTTTCTATG